TTCACCGTCTGTTCAAACCGTGCCAGTGTCGTTTCAGGAACGTTCCCTATATCCGTCCAGCTTCGTAGTGCTATCCGCTTCCCGTTGTTGCAGATGCACACCTTCCTGTTGACCCAATCGATCTCGGGGTTGAACCTCTTCAAGAAATCTCGCCCTAAGATGAAATCTGAACCTTTGATGTTCGTGATCGGCAACGTCGGCTTCCACCTCAGCGCCCCTATGTGCAGCTGCAATGATGCTTCGCCGTGGATGGGAAGTTTCGTACCGTCCACCATCGTTGCCGTGAACTTGGTCTCCTCGGAAGTTTCCCCAATTTTCTCCAACGTCCCGCGGTCACACACTGAGTGAGATGCGCCGCTGTCCACCAGTGCCTGGAGGCGTCGTCCTTTGCATAACACCTCGAGGAGTAGTGGTGCCTGCTGAGCTGAGTAGCCAAAGATGTCTCATTGATAGGATCATAGGGTATATCAAAATGAATACCATCCCTATTTCCTATACCTGACTCAGCACTTTCCAACTTCACCTGGGGGGTAGGAGGATTTTTCCGAGGCTTGTACAACTTCTCATGAGCCTGGATTTTTCCTCTAAGCCTTTGCAGCTGTGTAGGCTTCACCTGTGGGCAACGGGGAGCCTTAACACTGGGCTGCGGGGAGAATATTAACTCCACAGAACGCACGACCCTTTTCTACGCTCCGTAGTACTTTGCCCAACTTCTTAGGTACCTGAATAATCTCTAAAGGCTTTTTCTTGGCCTCTAAATCTCCCCTGAATTTCTCAAAGGCTTGAAAACCACGAGAAGCAATATTTTCCGTTAAAGTATCTTTATGGGATACTTTTAACGAATTCTTACTTTCGTGGGTGTTCGGCGGGAGTTTCCCGGTCGCTGCAGAGTCTTTTTTCGCGGAGCCTCCATTCGCCTCGGCGATTTCCCCTGATGCCGGCCGGTCGTGACGTTTTATATTTGCGCCATCATTTTCTCCTTTTTTCACCCGCTCCGAAGTCGCCACGTCGTCACCCTTTTCTGCTTTTCGGATCTTTACGCGATCGCCAGGTCAATCCGCGGCTACTGGCGATTCCCGTTTTTTACTTTGGGGGTGCTCCACTGTTGCCGCCCAGCAGTGCCGCAAGTGCCTTCTTCAATTTGTAGCACGACAAGATTTGATGCCCCGCTGCGCCGCAAAAATCGCATTTTGTCGGTTGCTGCTTCGCGTCAAATTTGTCGATATCCATCGGTTCAGCGAACGTGGGGGGTGCCGATCGCTCTGTGCCGAATGTACGGTTCGGCCCGTAACGTCGTGTTTCGGGTTGACCACGAGTCAAAGCGTCGTATCGTTCGGCAGCACGCACGATGTCACGGTAATTATTGTAGTTCGCTGCGATGACTTGTCGGCGAATCTCCAATTTTAACCCTTCTGTGTACGCCTGGATTTTTTTGCCCTCGGTCAGGTCAGTGATGCGGTTGAACAGTTTCTCCATCTGCTGCATGTACTGTGCTACAGTCCCGTATTGCTTGTGTCGGTGTATTTGCTGTCGCGCCATGTAGGTTGTGTTAATTGGCTCGAAATTTTCGATGAGGTCTGCCCGAAACTGCTGCCACGTTTTCTCCCCGCGGGCCACGTTAGTGTAATATATCCACTCGAGTGCTGGTCCCCGCAACAGTGTCGCTGCGAGCCGAATTCGTGCTGCGTCGTGTGTCGGGGTCGAACAGCCAATGGCCTCGAAGTAAATTTCGAGGGTCGCCACAAAACGTCGAACGTCAGTTGGATCGAACGCTTCGGGGAGCCTCGGGCGAGCTGCTTCGAGGTTCGGCATCGGTGGTGCCATCGGTCCGTGAAAAGTCGGTGTCGCTGCCGCTGCTGCTGCTATCGCTGCTACGTTCGCTGCTGCATTGACTGCTGCGGTGGCGGTTGCGGATTGGTTTGTCAGAAGGGCCTCGAGTCGCCGAATCGCCGCCTGCGTCTGTTCCATGTCGGTGCGAAGGCTGGCGATGTCGCTCGTCGTCGCGTAGTTGTCGCCTTGACCTCCCATGCGTGACATTGCACGTTCAAAAAAACCGAAACGAGGAGGAGCAAAAAACACGGAACCGGTTTTACGTACCCGAAATCGGTGTTTATGAGCGTCGCCCCCGCGGTTTTTGAAGACTCGGTTTTAGCGGTCGAAAAACTGTCGCGTGTAAACACGCTCTGATTACCAAGTGTGAGGATCTAGGATCGATCTCAGAAAAGAGAATTATAATTGATTGATTCACCTGGGTACAACACGAGGCTATATATAGGCTTGACACAAGGCAGGTAACCCAGGTGTTATGCGAATGTTCTGAGGGTCGCGAAGCATCCTGAACAGAACCTTCCCGAACTCAGTAGAAAGCAATTCGGTGGAAACCGAATCGGCTTGAGTTTGGTACACGTAACCTGGTTCGGTGCTATAAATATAATAAAATATAGGAATGCACCTAGCCTAGGAAATCAAGCATATTTATGCATGATAAATAAAACCCAAGCTAGATATAGCAAAATAAAGTATAGGAAAGCTAGCAAAGCCAGCATAAGCCGTCGTACTCTCACAAAAACTGCAGGAATTTTACTAGAAACACCTGAGAACAATGATGCAAAGATGGTAGGCAACAATGACAACATCAGAGCCTAGCAACCTAGCAGACGTCCACGTGGACCGCCAGTGTAGCAAGTCCGCGGCCTGCCAATGCAGTTCGATGGCTACTTACCAGCACTGCAAGTTGGCGACCTGCCAGCACTGCACCAGCGACTTGCCAACGCTGCAGCAAGGGAGCTTGCTAGCGTCCAATCGCATGTGACCATAGTGCATGTGCGATTGGACAACATGTGCACGTTTTGCACCGCCCCGAACATTGTGCAGGCACCAAGTCGGCCAAGTGCCGACGGTTGCGCCTGATGAGCAACGTCGACCTCGGGATACCAGCCCGAGGGCGGCTTCGCCAAAATCTCATGGGCGACGATCGCACACCCTCGCAGAACCTCGCCGCCCTCCTAGTTACGCCGTCGACTAGATCAACCAGGGCGACCAGGTAACGCCCCTATCATCCTCAAGTCAGCGCCCATAAGTCGGCGCCCCATGTCGACGAACCCCCTTCAACGACCACATCAGTCAAAGTCGGTCATCGGCTTCCCGTCGTCAGCAGCTTCACTGTGGCCCTGCGGAGGTCGACCAAATTCGTCGACCTGCTCGCCCAAGTCGGCGTCGCCCACTGCTTATGGTCGGCTGCACCTCCCGCACACCCGACCACGAAGTCGGCTTCGCCCAAACGAGGGCGGGGCCAACTCCCGCCAACAGCGTCTCCGGCTGCAGCGGCTACTGCTGCTGCTGCTCCTCCTGCTCCTCTCGCTCCAGCTGCTCTTGTGCCAACATCTACTGCTCCTCTCGTTGTAGCTTCCAAAGACAGATGGCAGGCTGAGCAGGTGCCGTAGAGCCAGTGCCTCCAGCTCCAACACCCCCAGAACCAGCACCGCCAGTTCCAGTACCTCCATCTCCACCACCACCAGAACCAGCACCTTCAGTGTCAGCACCTCCAGTTCCAGTACCTCTAGCTTCAACACCCCCAGAACCAGCACCTCCTGTGCCAGTGCCACGAGCTCTAGAACCCCAGATTTAGCACCTCTAGTGCCAGCATCTCCAGCTCAAGCACCTCCAGGACCCGCATCTCCAGCTCCAGCACCCCCAGTCAGAATACCAGTGACACCAACTCCCTTAGTTCAAGCATCTCCAGTAGTAGCACCCCCAGAGCCCACTACGACCTGTCGTGGTAGTACCAACGGTGACTGTGATTAGGACTGCGGTGAGGGAGACGACACCAGACGTACTACTGAGGGAAAAGGGGTAGCGTGAGACACACCTGATGGGGCAAGACCTGAGTGGGGTGGTCAAGTCTTGGAGGAAGAAGGGCTTCATTAAGAGAGATGAGTACAAGATATAGCAACATAATACACCACCTATAGCAAGTGAGATACACTACAGTATACTACATATAGTTATAAAGATTATGCATAAATATATTCTAACACACCCCCTAACTGCCTGTATTAAAGAACCTTATGGCAAAAACACCCCCTAAAAGGGTACACCGAGGGCACAGAGCACAGCGGAAGATGAGGAAGGGAAGTGAGGAGGAGGAGGAGAAAGAGGTGATGGGCGGCGGCTAAAGCCGCTAACCCACAGGCTACTAGAGAACTGGCTCGCGAGCACTGGGGTATATGGCTCGTACGTCTGGAGCATCCCGTTCGTACGGCTAAAGCAACTGACCCAGGCCGATTGGAGCACCGTCTCACTGGCGACTAAAGTTGCAGGCCTTACGACGTCCATGGCCCCCCGGCCCCCCAAACCTCCCCCCCACAATGGTGGGGATGGCTAGGGTAAGGAGAAAAGTAACGGAGGAAGCGGCAGCTGGAAACGAAGAGAGAGAGAGAGAGAGAGAGAGAGAGAGAGAGAGAGAGAGAGAGAGAGAGAGAGAGAGAGAGAGAGAGAGAGAGAGGCCCTAGGAGCTAGTCCTTAGCCTCTCCAGCACTCTCCAGCCTAGTATAAAGTGCTCCTCTGCAGCTAGCTCTCCTCATTGTTCGGTTCTCTTCATTTGTTTCTCCTAACCGAGCGGGAGAGAGCGAGAGAGAGAGAGAGAGAGAGAGAGAGAGAGAGAGAGAGAGAGAGAGAGAGAGAGAGAGAGAGAGAGAGAGAGAGAGAGAGAGGCCCTAGGAGCTAGTCCTTAGCCTCTCCAGCACTCTCCAGCCTAGTATAAAGTGCTCCTCTGCAGCTAGCTCTCCTCATTGTTCGGTTCTCTTCATTTGTTTCTCCTAACCGAGCGGCTCGCGCCGGCCGCCTTCGGCGGCCGACGCTCGACAGCGCGGCCTTCGGCCGCGCGTGAGGGAACGACAAGCACACAACACACAGAGTTGCTCGTAACGGCAATACAAACATGGCAAGTCCTACCGTGGCCTAGCCGCGCAAACCTCTAATGGCAGAGCCGGAGCCCGCGTCTACATGCGGTGAGCTCCGAGGGCGTGAAGAACACCCGTCAGGGAGCGCCACAGCTCCCGGACCACAAGCGTGCTTGCGCCGATCGCGGCGGCTCCAGATCCAGCACGCAAATGGCGCCGCAAGCCGCGCACGGCCTCATCAAGCGGCCCCGCCGCCGCAACGCCTCCCTCGGCGGGCGCAGCCAGCACGGGCGCCAGCAGCCCTGCAAGCTGATCGGCTGCGTCCAGGCAAGAATCGCGATGTCGATCCAGGAACAACTCAGGGGGGGCCGCAGGGAGAGACGAATGTGCAAGAACCTGTATCAGAAGCAGTGCGTGAAAGCTCTCCGCGAGGCGGAAGAGCTGGCCGAGGGTCGCCTCCGGAACACGGGCCTGAGGGGGTTGCAGCGCCTGAGCAAGGAACTGGAATGGCTCCTCAACGGCAAGAGGAGCCGGGCCACCCGCCGTCGCCGCCCCGCCTCCCACAGCCACAAATTCAACTCCTGCCACGGGCGGGACGGGCGGCAGATGCAACCGCGACCCTGGAACGGGAGCAGACGCAGCAACAGCGGGAGGCGATGGGGCCGGAACACGAGATTGGACTGGTGCAGCAGGAAGCGGAACCTCAGGAAGCGCCGCCTGACGCTGAGCTGGATAGGCGGCGGCAACGTGCGAGCTGCCTTGGGTCTGAGCAGCCCTCTCCTCACGCATCGCGGTCGTTACCGCCCTTTGCAGATCCGCCATCCTCACGGGCGGATCATACGATCCTCCGCCATTGCGACCGCGAGGACCCCACCAGCCACCGCGACCGCCACGGTGTGCTTGCCACTGACCCGACTGTTGATTGCGCCGGGGAGAATTGCGCCGGCGCCGGGAGGACGCCCGATCCTGTTGGGGCGCTGGAGAATGGGGGCGAGATAGGCGACGGTCCGGCGAGGGAGGACGAGACTGCGACGCCAGCTGCGCCTGCTGAGCCACGGGCGGCGCAACAGGGGCAGCCGGGTCCACTGCAGGGGGCACAATCAACTGTGCCGGGCCGCCAGTGGTGGCGGACGCCGCCTGCGGGGACGAGGCAGGCGCAGAAGTCTGCGGCTCGTGGCCGGCAGCTGGTGGCCCAACGGGATCGGGAGCCGGGAGTGTGGCGTCAGTCTTTGTCGGGGCTTCAAGTGGAGCCTGGGGAGCAGTTGGCGCAGACGGGGCGGACCGCTCAGCAGCAGCAGGGGCCGCAGACTGAGCGGCAGCTGCGGCAAGGGGAGCCGCGGGTTCGGGGCGAGGAGGCTTTTCAGCGGATGTTGTCGAGGGCTTCGGAGCCGGAGGCACCGGGGGCTTCGTCGCCGTGGTCGCCTTTCCGGGCTCAGACTGAGGCTTGGCGACCACTGCCGACCAGGCGGCAACGCGCTCTGGCGACGGCTAGGGAGCTCCAGCAATCACCATCGCGAGGTCGGGCAGCACGGGAAGAGAGGAGGCAGGCAGTTAGCGGAACAGGCGGAGGGCCGGAGAACGGGTTTCAGGCTGCGGGACGTCGGGCTTTAATTGCTCTAGTAGCTGCCAATGAAGAAGGGGAGAGAAATGACCCCTCTTATATCGCGGAAGCGGAGCCAGAGAGTGAAAATGAAGATGAAGGGGATGGAGCAGAGGCAACAAGTGTAGGGACGGAGAGGAGAAGACCTGGGACAGCCAATTTACCCACAGCGGGAACAGAGGGGCGTGCAGGGCCATTGGATGCTGATCGAACGGATGAGAATCCAACTCGGCAGCAATCAACGACATCGAGTCGTGCACGCAGACATCGGACCGCATCCCTCCACCCTGTGTCAGGATCGACCCCGCAGCGCCCCCGCTATTTTTCGCCAGTGGAGCTGGCGGAGATGGGGGACAAATTCGCTGACATCGCGAATTGGGACATTTCCGCCCTCTGCGACAGTCGCCAACCGCCGCTGTCGAGACGATTACCGCCAAACCTGTGCCAGTTATTCTCGCTGGCACTCCTGACCCCGCTACACCACCTCTCGCGAAACCCTGATTCCGAAGCGGGTTGGAAACTGCTTCTTTTCCTCCCGCGTCTGACCCTTCGCCAGGCTTCGCCAAAACACCCAAATTGGCCGCAAATCAAGGCCCGTCTTCGGGCTTTCCAGCGTGGCGAGTGGTCGCAGCTCTACCAGGATGCGGTAAACGCGGTCAACGCCCCTCCGCCCCCATGCCACCGACCCGATGTGATAGGTGTACTGAGCAGAGCCGAGGGGTTGGTGAAACGTGGCAGTCTGCGCCGAGCCGTGCTGGCGCTCGAGTCAACACCCGTCTGTACACCGAGTCCAGAAATCCTGGACGAACTCCGACAAAAGCATCCACCAGCGGGGGATGAACCGCTGACCTGGCAAGCAGCCGACACTCAGCCCCTGGGCATTTCCCACGCGGAATTTGCGAAGCTCCTCGGGCGATGCGAGAATGGTGTCGGTGCCGGACCTTCGGGTACAACATTTGAGCACCTCCGCGATGCTGCAATAACCAATGCATCCGTCAGCACTCATCTGCACGCCTTGGTTAATACAATTCTGGGGGGAAATCTCCCAGATTCGGTGGCGGACCTGCTCACAGCGTCTCGACTCATAGCCCTGGCCAAACCTGGGGGCGGGGCCCGACCAATCGCTTTAGGCGAATGCCTGACGCGGCTGGCTGCCAAGGCTGCGCTCTTGGTCATGGGGGACGCTGCACGTGAATACTTCCTACCCCTACAGTACGGCGTGGCAGTGCCAGGTGGAGCAGAAGCAATAATTCATGCCGCCCGAACGTACGTGGATGGCCACCCGAACAGCCTGGTACTGCAAGCCGACATCGCGAATGCTTTCAACAGCATTTCGCGACAGGCTATCGCCGTTGCGTTACAAGAACCCACCCTTTCGCCACTGCTACCGCTGGTCAAGTTGACTCACGGTAACCCGTCGCAGCTGCATCTGGATGCAAACTTTACAAGCGACCCCTTGCAAAGTGAACGAGGCGTTCGCCAGGGCGATCCACTGGGCCCTCTCCTTTTCGCGGCGGGGGTTCACCCCACACTTCGCGACACTGCAGCAGCGCACCCTGATGTGCTTTGTTTGGCGTATGCGGACGATGTGACCTTCGTGGGGGAAAAACGTGCAACTGTAGCTGCCTTCACCCACTTCACCTCAAAGCTGAAATTCCTGGGCCTGAAGCACAACCCGCAGAAGTGCACGGCATGGAGCGCACGCACGTGCGACTCAACTGAGCTGCCGCCAGAGGTCCCCTTCTGCAAGGACGGCGTTCGGCTGTTGGGAAGTTTTATTGGTGCAGCAGACGGGGCATCTGCTTTCCTGACTGGGCAATTGGGGGAGATGGCCAAGCCCTTGCCACTCATCGAGCGGGCAGATCCGCAGGTCGCTTCGCTGCTGATCACGCGCTGCATCTCCCGGCGCGTGGCGTACCTCACACGGACGACCCCCCTCAATCTCGTCTCCCGGGACACTTGGACGCAGTGGGGCCGCGATCTTTTGATGACATTGCTTACCTCGTGCAATATCCGAGCTCCAGCGGGTAGAGCGGAACAGTCGCGCGTGTAGGCTCAGGCGACCCTTCCTCCGTCTCTTGGGGGTGTAGGGATTACAGACCCTCTCATCGAGGGCGTATACGGATTTGTCGCAAGTTTCACGCAGGCGGCGCAGCTCTTCTCCACGCTCACTCTATCCCCGGATTCTGCCCTGTCGCACACATTCGGCCATATGCTCCAGCCGAGAGACGAGGGCACTCCACTCCACTCCTGGCTCACTGAGTGCGAGACCACCCTGCCTTCAGACGCGCGTGAACTGTTGGAACGAGAGCGACTGAAACAGACGGATGTGAAGCTGCAGCACGCCCTCGCCCTCCAAGTCCACGGCAGTCGCTACGCGGTGCAGGTTCAGGAGACGAGGAAGATGCCGCTGAATCCGCTTGCAGGCCACACGCAGCGGATGTTTTCCTTGACGGGATACGGCACTGGGGATTGGTTGACGGCGATACCAATAGCCCCGAACAGGCGCATTGGACCGGTCCACTTCGCCAACGCCGTCAGATTCCGGCTCGGCTTGCCCTTCTCCACCCCCTTAAACTGTGACTGCGCGGACCACACAGCGATCACCGACCCCCGCCTCCCAAATCACCTCCTACGCTGCGGCACCGGCAAGCACCGCATCAACACTCATAACGAGGTCCGTGATGCTTGCATCAGCATGGCCCAGGATGCGGGATTCATAGTCCACAGTGAGTCGGCGGCCCATTGTCCCATCGAGGAGCAGACGGCCGACTTCACCATGACCGACAGGAGCAGCGGGGCAGTATGGGTGTGTGATGTGACTGTGACTGACCCTATCAGCACGCGGGACCCGGAGGCACAGAAAGGAAGGGGATGGGCGGCCAGAGAGCAGGCAGACAAAAAGATCCAGCACTATGCAAGTAGACCTGAGACGGTTGGTTTCTTCCCGTTGGCGGTGGAGACCTATGGCTGCCCTTGTGCAGAGGTCCCCGTCTTCCTGAAACTCCTGGCAGACACGGCGGCTCGGCGCCACTTCAACGCCGATTCTAACTCCTACTATGCCGCTAAGTTTCTGCATCAGTTCAGGCAGCGGTGGTCGGTTGCACTTCAGAGAGCACAGTCAGTGGGGTTGCTCATGAAGTTGGGTGAGGCGGCAGCCGCTGAGAACCCCCCGGTCGGGGGTATCGGCCAAGAACTACACCTAGGGGATTGCTTTGCTGTTTTGGAGCCACTTGTGGAACTGTAGATGGGATAGGCTGGGACTTGCATGCTTACCGAACCTGTACGTGTGTACCTTTCGGCCATATCAATATACGGACCATTAGAGAGAGAGAGAGAGAGAGAGAGAGAGAGAGAGAGAGAGAGAGAGAGAGAGAGAGAGAGAGAGAGGGAGAGAGAGAGAGAGAGAGGGCTCGCAGCACCAAAGACAAGGTAGGCTCACCATGGTGGCAGCCAAGCTCACTGCACATTACTAGCAACGCTGGTCGGTAATGCTCCAGCGCAGCCAGACCAATACCCTGCTGGCCAAGTCCAACAGGGCGACCGAACAAGCCTTCCCCGAAGCAGCAGTCGACCCGTGGGAGCCCCGCCTAGGGGACCTCTGGCAGGTCCTCGAGGACGACCTGGACTGGGGGCCGGCCCTGGATGTGTGAGGGGCTGGAGTAAGGGGCCCCCAGGCAGCGGTCCCCGGGTGATGGACACGTGGTAGGACCTAGCTAGCCGAGCCAAGCGGCAGGAGTGTTAGGGGTTATTGGTGTTGTGTGATGCAATCATATGCATTCACGTCTGTCTGCCTCCCATCATGTGTTCGTGCGTTGCATGCGTGGTGTGAGCGTATGCAAGAATTTGTGTTTTGTGCGGTTTGGTTTTTCTGAGTATGTGTGAATGTTATTTGGCTTGAGCAGATATCTGAAGTGACTCCTCTGCTCAAGAGCTTTCCGACGAACCAAGTATCGTTTCAATCGGAGCACGAACAAGAAAGTTACGAACGTTGGAAGTTCGTATGCTTTTGATATTTGGTTGTGGTGACTATGGGAAGTTGTGGGGTTGACTCCATAAGGGGTATAGACTTTTGGGGGTTGGGAAATTCGTCAACATCACTGTAGATGCTGCCAAGTGGTTGGGAGAAACCAAACCAGGTTGGCAAGTGTGGCCAAGTTGGACAAGGTGGATGGCATGGGTTGGGAAAGTGACAAAAGTGAAAGTGGGGTTGCCTATGGAGAGGGGAATTGTGTGGCATGGGGTTTCCTTGGTTGGGGACTCTCTTGGGACCTTCCCTCTCGTCCTCCTCATCCCATCCCACCTGGTTTATTGCTATTCTAACTCTCTTGTGTAGCAATTGTGAAATTGTGAGACTCTTGTGATAGAGTCAAGATTCTATGGCAGCATACCCCCTAGTGCGCCGAAATTCATAACTCAAGAAATACTTCACCTTATCGTACGATTCAAATTGGGAATTGTAGCCACGGACTACGGCTACAACATATCTGAGTTTGGTGAAGTTTTGACAGTGCGTTTTTTGTCGACGGCGTTTCTTGTGAGCGCGACTATTCAGTCCAGAAATTGAGACCAACGATTTTGTGATATTTCGGCTCCTAATCTTCATAGACTCCGTCCTTAGTCTATAACAATTGGCTGCTTGCATGTTCGCCTGCTAGCTTGCCCTATAGCTAGACTGCATGCTAGGATGCCCGATTCTTATATGCTGTGCCTGTACCCTAAGTACTATCAATGAAGGACCGCTTGAGAGAGAGGAGAAAGGAGGAGTGGTGCAGCTGGTGGTGGTTGGCTGGACACCCCCGCCACCCCCTCACCACCACACCACCAGGCGCGGCAAGGAGAGAGAGGAGGGCCGTGGCTGGTAGTGTAGGCCCACGGCATTAGCGGACGCATCTGGAATGTTGTGGCGCTGGTTGCGCTTGCTGGTGCTGTCGTCGCGGCTAATGCTGGATGGTGTCAATGTCACAACTGGTGCCGTGCAGGTGTCGCAATTGGCGCTGGCTGGCACTGATGTCGTGGATGGCGCTGGCTTGCGTCGCTGTCGCAACTGGCGTAGGTTAGCACTACTGATGCGACTGGCGCTGGTAGGAGTGGATGTTGCATGTGGCGCTGCTGGCGCATCTGCCGTGACTAGCTTTGCTTGAAAAAAAAAATTGTAGGATCGAAACCACTCTGATATCATGTTGTGAAACGAGTT